CTCTCTTCAGGGGACCAAGTTCAACAGGAAACAAAGCTCTTTCCTTGTAGTTTACAAATGTCCCAGGGTCCACTCTGATTTGACCGGCTTGGGATGGACCTAGTTCCTGAGTCCCTGGAGCCAGGATTCAGTGCCCTGACTGGCAAGGCCCAGGGTCACTTGTCTACCCACACCGATTGGAGAAGGGTGATCCCAGGGAAAGGAGGGAGGGGGATGGATGCTGAGTATCTCCCAGAAATGGACAGGATGCTTGGCTTGAGGCTACCCTTCAACCTAATCTGGCTTCTCCTTCACAGGGCTGGGCTCCTGTTGGTGTTCCTGACAGGGGTATGTCCCCAGCCCCATCAGCACTCATTATAGGGCATTGTCATGGTTTTTTTCCCATGTCTTTCTCTTCAAATTCTTCACTCCAGACATCTTTGTTTATCCAGCTGATGTCAGAGTGTCTTCTTAGATCTCAACTAGTAAGGGAAGGAGATAAAAGGTAGTTGCCCAAATAATGCAGTGTCATAGTAAAGATACACCAAAAAGTGCAATGGGAAGTGTATAAAGGACAAAAATGAAGGGCTCAGAAAAGCAATTCTAGGATCTCTTTGAGGGCCCTGAGAAATAAAGGAGCAGCAGCCAGGAGCCAAAAACGTATTATTGATGATAGAGAGGCTGAGCTGGAGTACATAGTGTTAGGTTTATTAGGGCTGCTAATACAAATCCTATGAGGCCAACCCCCCTACCTGGGGCCCTGTAGGCATATAGCCCACCTCAGCAAGAGCAGTGGGATTCTATACCCTGCAGGCAGCTCACATTTCCAAGAGGAAGTTCCCTGCCCCCATCACCAGAGTGGTCATCTCTGACTTTCCCTGAGGCCAAGCAGTGAGATGATAGGACTATTACCCCTATTGGAGCTCCTTGCACATGGGAGGAAACAGATCAACTTTCCAAAGGTTTCTAGAAGGTAGTGTTTAAGATGGGTCTACCAGGTCCTAAACAGGAGGGATTGAGGCCTTCATGCCCACATTTTTAGGCACAGCTTCTCTTCATCCCACTGTGGCCCTCCCTACCCTTGTCTCATGGCTCTAGTGATCATCATTCTACTTGCCTCCCAACCTGGGTTGCTATATGCAATACCTCTATACCCTGGTACTTGGATCCTGTCTTACTGGCACAAGGTCGTGCATCTCTGAACTCTGAGAAACTCTCCCAGCTCCAGCTGGCTTTGTTCCTCTGCACCCGCTACTTTGCAATGAGCCTATCTATCTTCAGGTGCAGCAGCCCTTGCTGGACTTCTTGCCACTGTGCACCAGGCCAGGCTGGAGACTTGATAGTAACCTAAGCTGAGCCAGAAAAGCTCTGACTGCAAGGCAGTAAAGGAGGGAGGGAGGGAGCAGTAGGAATCATGTGTAATTCACTCCCTGGGCTCTAGGCCCCCCCATTGTCCCCTTGGGAGAACAAGGACAATCCTTACCTATAGGGGGCAGGGATGCCTTACTCCCAGGGCAGGACTGGTTGAGGCTGCCTGAACAAGATTCTCACCAGGGATTTTGATCTGGTTCTGAGAAGGGCTGATATATATGCAGACCCATACTTGATGACAAACACAGATGTTTTCATGAATTGTTTTAGGTTATGAATAAGGGAGAAACTGCCTATGAAGATTCACATACTGATGAGAAGCTCGTAAACACTTTCCATTCTGAATAACAAAGGAATAGAGCTTTGGGTTACATACCATTTTAAAGAGAAGGCAATTATTCCTGCTTTTTGGCCTGCCAGTTGGAACCCAAGTACTGTAACATACTTACACAACTTACTTGCCAAGTACTTGGGGAGAAGGAACCACAACATAGGCATCGAAGCTAACCCTAATTAACTTACAGTTGGTCCACTGAACCTCCTGGGAAAGCCATATCCTTGGTGTAATACCTGAGAAATTTCTACATACACCACTGCTAATGGATGCTTCCTCGTTCTGCCAGGTTCTCAAACTGGGACCAATTATGTCCAGTCATCTCATCTGCAGGCCATAAAGAAGGGCCCAACAGAGGGCAAGGACATCTGCTGAAGGACAGCGGAGAAGGCTGGCTGCATAGGGGAGTGTGCAGTGCCCCCAGCACTTTCCAGACATTGAGCAAACCCATGACCTAACCCTTAACTTCTGTAGACAGGCATACTTTACGGAGCTCAATGAGTCTGTTTCAGGAAGGGTTCCCTGGGCAGCTGACTTTGATATGGAGATTAATATGTGGTATTGTATGTGTGTGGGGGGTGCTCTTGGGTTCAACACCTATGGAAGAAGGGAAGGAAGCAGCCTTGGTCAGAGGGAGGTGGGGTATAGTCTCAACAAAAGCCTCAGCTGAACCCATTGAGAGTTCTGAAGCTTGATGGCCTTTTGAGTTGTTCTGAGTTGGGGTGAGGGACAAACACTTCATACCTCAGCTTCAACCAGTCACTGGATGCATGCTGTCTCCACAGTGGAGGGTATGACCCGAGGAAGCTCCCTTCACTTGTGGTAATTCCTGAGGAATTACCTGTCAGCCAGCAACACTCCCAGCAACTAGGGCCCTTCAGCAGTGAAAATAGACCTGGATAGTTTATCATGGTGTCTACTATTCCTTTGCTACTCAGATTCACTTCTTTGTATAAGTTCTGGGAGCAGCTCTACTTTTCCTGAAGGAAAGTGATGGTTAATGGGACGAAACCACAGTCCCCACCACTGCAGCTGGTCTTAAAGCCTGAACTGATAATCATCATCTCCCCCTTTATTATATTTTAGAATCTTCTCACTTTCAGGAAGCACCTCTGCTGAGTCCCTGGTAACCATGCCATTTTCAGATGATGGCTGCTGTACCTGTCTATTTACCGTTAAAACTGAGCAAGGGTCCAGCTGGATTGTCTGGGTGCCAAACATCTTCCTTTTTGCTCCATTGTGTAACCACAGCCCTGGCTCTTCCTGATGAGCAGGTTCAATTGCTCCTGCCAGCAGAGCCTCCTGCTTCTTGCCTGCTGGTCCCTTGGCATAAGGAGCTCAAAGTGCTTGGTGGCAAATGTACACTAAAGTTCAGTCCTGACTGGTGTGGCTCAGTTGGATGGGCATTATCCTGCAAAGTGAAAAGTTGCTAGCTTGATTCTGGGTCAGGGCACATGCCCAGGTTTTGTCCCAGGCCAGGGCAACGGATTGATGTTTCTTTCCTTCTTTCTCCCTCCCTTCCCCTCTCTCTAAAAAGAAAATATTTAAAAAAAAATCAATGGGACTTTTGCTACATTCTCTGATGGAAGTATTTCCTTTTTGGGGACTAGGGCCTCAAAATCCTTTAAGTTCAGGGTTGTGGTGACAGAAATACCTGCAGTGGGATCATGGAGATTAATGGTAAGAAGAGCCACTCCTACTTCCACCCTTTGTTCCCCAGACCTATACATTCTTCTTATTTGTACACAGCACCATGTTGATTGTGCCCCATCATTAGATGGCAGGATCTCTATGCTGGCATCTCAGCTGTGTCTTCACAGACCATCACTTCTCTGTTTAGGCTGGCCTCTCCTGGATGGCAGAGAACAAGATAGGACCAGTGGATCCCATGGTCATGTCCCACTGTCGTGCATCCTTAGCTGTGTAAGGGGTCCTTCGGTCTGATGTGATGTTACGTGGGATCTTCTCCCAATGGGTCAGAAATTCAGTAAACACTCAAGAAAGTGGTGCTAGCTGAGGCCCTACAGACAGAAAAGGCAAACTATATTCAGAATGTGGCAACTGCCATCAAAATAAATTGCTGCCATTTCCGAGATGGAAGGTATCAAATGTAGTCACCTTGTCATCACGTGGCTTGTTGGTCTCTTGGAAGAAGACTGCCATTTGTGGGGAATAGCAGTGAATTCATTGCTGACAGGTTGGACATTCAGCAGTGGCAGTGTCTACAACAGCCTCTGTCAGTGGAGCCTATGCTCTTAGGTCCACGTACGGCTCCTACCCCTGCCCCCATCGCTACTCCCTTCACATGCCCATTGTGCCAGTAATGAGATGGTTAATAGCATCTAGCTGATCTCAACTGGTGAGTCATTCTCTCTACCTGGTTGTTCAGTGCCTCTTTTATGTAGATGTTCTCTGGTGGGCATTGCATACTTCTTGCCCACTCACATGCCTCTATGCTACACAGACCTCCTTGTCTTTGATCTTCTAATCTCTCTCCTCCCAGGCCCTGATCAGCCAGCCAAGCCAACTGCTAGCTCCATGAGTCTGTACATATTTTAACCTTGGCTACACTTCTGTCCACGCCAAGTGAATGATCAGGTGCACCATTGAGAGCACTTATCCACTGGAAGGATTTGCCCTGCCACTGTCTTTCAAGATCACCCCAGAGTGGAGTTATAGTGCAGCCATCATTCATTTTTGATTTGCACTCAAATCACACATTGACCTATCAGTGAATCAAGCTTTGCTTTTTTCCCTGTGTCTACTGGTCATAAAGGGGCCCCACCTCCTATGCAGGCATACACGTGAGCTGAGGGAGAGGTGCTGGTACAAAATGATAGGTGACATGGATGTCTAGGCTATTTGCTTGTGCCCCTGGCCCCATTTATGCCCAATTCTGGTTGTACCACTTCTGTCTTACTATGGATTATTTTGGGGCCTAATCGACTTTATGTTTGGTGATCTGATAGGTGGAATGTAACTTATATGAGGCAAGCTCATAAGGAAGTAGTTTGGATCAACTTGAAAATATACAAAGGGCCATGAAGGAGTAGTTCAGTTGGTTAGAGCATTGTCCCATACACCAAAAGGCTGCAGGTTCAATCCTGTCAGCATGTACATAGGAGGCAACTGATGGATGTTTCTCATGTCAATATTTTTTTCCCCTTCTCCCCCTTTCCCTCCCTCTAAAATCACTAAACATATCCTCCGGTGAAGATTAATTAAAAAATACACACACACAAAGGAAATTAAGTATTTCAACAATGTTTTGGAATACACAAGCAAAACAAGTTTGTTGATAATGGATTGGAAGAGATGTTAGGTCAGAGATGTTACAATCTGAACAAAAAAGTGGTAGAGAAAATGGTATAAACTGATTTTTAAAATTCTGAGGAAGTGATAGGTAGATGCAGAAATGGAGACAGCAGGCACATTTATGCTATCCTTTTAAAAACGAAATCTAAGCTGTGAAAGGAGAGGGGTGTGGTATTTGAAAAGAGTTAAAGCTTCTTTATTTTTAGGCTTTAGAAGATGGGCTTGATTGTGGTTAAACCGAAAGGGGCAGGGGAGATGGGGAAATGGCGGGGCTGGAGGGGCTCCGCTGGACTTCTGAGCACTCATGTTGATGAACAAAACAAAATGAAAACAGAAACTAAACAAGAAGACCAAGCAGAAGTTGTAAGCTGTAATCAAGGGAAACAAGACAGTAGGAAAGTTCGACCTCTCTGCCAGCGGCCCCCTCCCGGCCAGCTGACCGCCACAGAGAAAAGCCTGGCTCGACAAAGCATCAGACACTATTTTCTGTTATATACCCACTTCTCCTTCCTTGCTATGAAGGGAAAGCAAACATCAATACCAATACCCAGAGTAAGATCAGACAGTCTGCATAGGATACATGTAAATTTCAACTCCCACTAAAGCATGATTTTCTCTTTCTCTTTTTGGAAAAAACATCCTTTATTAAGAACATCTAAAATTCCTCCACCAGCTATGGTCAGAGTTAAATTCTGATGCACTGCCTTGGAACGAGCACAGCCCCCTTCACATGATGATGTCCCTGGACAGCATCTGTTTGCTTGTTTGTCAGTAAGGTTCTTACTGTAAGTGCAGGGGCGGGGGTGGGGTGAAGGCAACGATGTAGTGCAAGGTTTTCCTTTTGGACATCCAGCAGCTTCACTTTTTTGAAGTTGGAGACAGAATAGTCCTTGAATGCCTTTCGAGATCATTTAGGCAGGCTGTCCATGGCTGCTGCAAAGTAGGTTTAGGAAACCTGTTCACTTCCTCACGCTGTGCAAGTAACTCCAAAGGGTTACCTCATTTCCAGGCTGAGGCGCGCCACCAGCTCACCTGGCTCTCCAGAAAGTGTCCTGGGCTCTAAGGAGGTAGACCCTCCAACTCCCCTCCCGACCGCTCTTCCACAAAGGTTAGACGAGTGCACAGACTCCGACCCCGGGGACCCGCTGGGCGCCCCGCATACCAGAATCGGTTCCGAAGCAGTCTGCCGGGGAGTCCGAGGAAGGTGTGGTGGCAGCTGCCACCAGGCCTCAGCAGGTTCTCCTTTCACCAAAGGCGACTATACCGTCCCCCTTACCTGGGCACCCCTCGTGGTCCCGCAGAGGCAATGCCAAGGCTCCATACTACCCTAGGCTCAAATCAGTGAGTAGGGAGACCCAACACTACGTAGGACTCCGAAGGCACCAGGCTGTAGCCCTTCCTCCGCGGGGCAGTACTTGGTGGCCCGAAGATGGCGGCGACGACTGGGCCAGACGGTCATTCCTCAGGGCGCCCTTGACTGGCTCCCGCCGCAGCGCCACCTATCTTGCTAGACTGGGGCCTAGGCGCGTGAGCAAAGGGCGAGAAGAAACGGTGATGAGCGCTCGGCGGGGCGAATCAGCAGCGAGGAGCTCTGGCAGAGCCCAATCAACGCCCAAGAGGCGGTGACACGAATAGGTTGCTAGTGGGCTGCTTGTGTGGCGAACGCCGAACGCCAGGTGTCGAGCACTCCGTCTCGCCGCTTCGCACGCGGTCTGCACCACGACTACTGAGAATATTGAGGAGCCTGGTGGCTGCTGACCGCCCGGTTCCCGACACCGGCCTAGGAGCGCCTCCTGCAGCGGTCCTGGACCACCTCCTTTAAGGGTACCCTTCCTCAGTGGTTGCTGCAGAGAGACATGACGGGTTCGGCGCCGGCCAAGTAGGAGAGTCGGCGGAGACCACGAAGTCCTCCCGGACTCGTTCCTCCGTCCAAGGAGCGGGGCAGACGGCATGTTCCCGCGGAGGCTGGCGGGCGCGGCGGCGGCAGCGGCGCGTGCTGTGCCGCGGAGTTGGGGCCTGCTCGCCCTCCTAGCCAATCAGTGTAGCTTCGTGACGGGCCTGCGCGTGCGGCGCGCGCAGCAGATCGCGCTGCTCTACGGCCGCCTCTACTCGGACAGTGCGCGCCGGGTCCTCCTTGGCCGCCTGTGGCGCCGGCTGCGGGGCCGCTCGGGCCATGCCTCGGCGGTGATGGCAGCGCTTGCGGGCGTCTTCGTGTGGGACGAGGAGCGTATCCAAGAAGAGGAGTTGCAGAGGTAGGCCCCGTGGCGTGGTCGCTACCCGCCGGTGGTGGCGCGCCTCAGGTGGGGAGAGCGGGACCTTGAACCTGAGTCCGCTCGCGTGGTGTTTGAAGCGGCGGTGGAGTAGCTGGATCCTCTTTTAGCAATCTGCGCTTTTCTTGGTTGCCTCTGTTAATTCTATTTGTCGGGCTAAAAGTAACAGGTTGTATAGGTTAATGTAGGAGGGAGATTGTGAATGGGGACCAGGATCCTAAAGAAATAGCATTTTAAAAAATAAAAGATGTTGAAGGCACGTACCTGCGGCTGTTGTTCGCCTGATCTTTAACCCAGAAAGGTGCAAATTCAAGACGAGTTGTAGGTTTTACCTAAGGGGATAGACAGGCAATTTAGAAAGTGACCTCATTCCGAGTGGGACTTGGTCAGAAGTGCCAAGAGAGCTTTTGTCATTGTGACTCTTGTGGCAGAATGATGACACTTAAACCTGTAAAAAAATACTTGTATTTTGCTATTCTAACTAGGACTTTGAAGGTACTGTTTTATTTGGCTCTGAAACCATGCTGTCATCATCAAAACCTCAGTGTGGAAAGTGTGTACCATTGACTGAATTTGTTAATCTGTGACTCCAAATCGGAGTCCTTACAGTTTTCAAGGTTTCCTAGCGAAACCTTGTTTCAGCGCTTGCTTTACATTGTCTCTGTATTTTCTTTTTCAACAGATGCTGTATTCTTAAACTGTTCTTTCTCTCCATACCATGCACACTGTGCCCCTGAACTCTGAAACTGATTTCAGGAACCTAGAACGATCCCCTTCCCCCACCAAATGCCATACAGGTTTACTTATTTCAGATATTTCTTCTGTTATTCCACATTTTTGGTTTGGTTAAAAACGGAAATACTGAAGTAAAGGTAACACTGTGACCTGTTTGGAGGTGTAGCACCCAGGTGCCAGGCATATTTGCGCAACACTGTGTGAGTTGTAATTAAATGCAAATTTATCTTAAGAACTGTATCTTAAAAAAATACTAAAAAGTATCTCAGTACTTTTCATAGCAGGAAGAATGACTGGTTTAGGGATACAATTTAAAGCCATAACCACAAATAATCTTATCCACAAATAAGTTAAGATATCAAAGCATGATTGGTAGTTTGCCTAGTTTCTGTTAGTATTCTTTCGCTGCTTGTCCATTTTTTTTTTCTGGTGAAACAGTCTCAGGTGTAAGAAATTAAAGAAAACTTATAAATTGAGAAATTATCAGTTAGCTGTTATAATTTTCATTTTGTGTTTTTGGTGATAAAACACCCATGTTCCACATTGATTGAAGTTTGAGGGGAAAATTAAAATTCCCATACGAATCTGTTTGGAGAAGAGAAAGACCAGAAAAGGGCTATTGGGTGCAAAAGAGAGGGAAGATGTATGGGGATTGGGAGCTGAATGGTCTTGGAGCCTAGGGAGTAGATGACATTCTTTGACTTACTTCATGTGTTTTTTTATGGAGATATGTCCTGGAGTCTCTGTTTAGTGCGACTCCCATTTGCAGGAGCTAGAAGGGAAAATAAGCTAGAAAATCAAAGCAGTAAACATTTGAGTTAGTAGTCACTCTCCACTGTGGCAGAAAGATGACACCACATCATGCCCAGTATTCATCCCATTTGCCTCTCTTTGGTTTGTTTCTGAAATCCAGGAGGCAGTTGAAACTCTTAGTTCTAACTCAGCTCCTAAACTGGGATTGCTCTGTGTTAAGCCGCTTGGGAATTTCTGAAGCTTAGATGAATGCCAGTCAGAACACCTGCTGTGCTTTTTTTGGACCCTGCAAGGGGTTGTTATAGAGAAGGCCCTCATTTGTTCAGTTCATGCTTGAATTCAGTCATATACTTAAAATTTGATGAAGTCCATTTTGAGGGCTTTTTTAATGTCTTTTTTTAAGACTTCATTTATTTTTAGAAAGAGGGGAAGGGAGGGAGAACGAGAGGTAGAGAAACATCAGTGTGTGGTTGCCTCTCACACCCCCCTAACTGGGGACATGGCCTGCAATCCAGGCATATGCCCTGACTGGGAGTTGAACCAGCAACCCTTTGGTTCTCAGGCTAGTGCTTCATCCACTGAGCCACACCAGCCAGGGATTAATGTCTGTCTTGATAGGGAGGCAAATAATATGCTGTTCAACTATACCTTGGTTGTATGGTAGTTCGTTTCATAGGTCTTTGTTCTGATAGCTTGTCCTCTTTATATTTTATTCAATACAGTATTCTGGGTCCAGGTTAGCTTTTTTTGCTTGGTGTTTATTCTGTTTGCTTTAACAGAGGCACTGCTGATGTTGTCATAGCTAGCTTAGAACACTTTAGATCTTTTTTGTTCTAGTGAGATGATTTTGGGTAGCTTCCATGATGGAACACAGTTAAATATTCCTCAGGACAAGTGCATTTCTTTCATTGTTAAAGGAAGAAGAGAATAATTATCTTAATTATCTTGTGACCCTTAAATCACAGCCTTTGGTTCTTATGTGCTGTTTCTATACCAACTTGTACTGGTAAAAGCTAATTCTGCGATTGCTGTCTTGATTAAACAGGATAGCTCTTTGAATATGTGCTTTACAGTAGCATGTGTTTTTTCTACTGTTATTTGAGTTCCTATTCAGAATGAAAAAGAGTAACCTTGCTTTATATTGTCTTCTGTTTAATGACATCTGAACAACACATAGGATCTTACTAATCTAGCAACAGGAAGAAAATTTAAGAAAAGAAAGGTGACACATGTAGAAATCAAGTCTAATGCTTAGTCTAGTATTCTTACTCACTTGGCTTCAATTAAACAAACAAAATCACTTCAATCACTATTTTTGGTGCTACCTGGCATTATGTAAGCCCAGGGCAAATCTTGTGGAAAAATACAATAGTAATTTTTTTATTGCTTTGGAACACTTAAGAAAAAAGTACAGGAATGAAAAGAGGAAGGAAGATAAAAAATATGAAAGGCTGAGGGAAATGTTCCATTAACCTTCCCTCTTTTTTAAAAGTTGCACTTTGTTGCTCTAGAAATTTGAGTAAATAATTGGCAGTAAAGTTTCATACAGAAAATTGGCTGTTTTCTCATTTATGCCTTTTAGGGCATTCTGAATACTTTTGACTTCAATATGTCATTAACTAGGTAAATAATCAATGAAAAATCCTTTTGACTTAAAGGAATTTTTAAAAAACTTTTGTCACTTGAGTGTATTTTACTGTTACTGTCTTCTTCTGTCATCGGAACTACATAAAAGCTGACTTGAATTTTTTGAGCTTGTCTTCACAATTTTACCATTAACCAGTTGGCCCAGAATTGTAGTTTGCTAACTGATGTCCTATTTCTAGGTGTGTCCCATAACAGTTGTACTTAAAAGTCTCTAATTTTGACAATAATTTGGAATTTGAGAAGGAGATTATGTGTAGTGAGTCAGTTGTCTTTCTAAGTTGAACCACATGTGGTTATAGTGATTTTTCTGTTTTCTTGGTTTATGCCTTCAATTTCACCAGCTCTCCATCCAGCCTTTCTCAAATATTGAACTGACTATAGTTTTGGAGAAGGGGAAGCATTTGACTGTCTTGATCCTCTTACTAATCTGTTGGTTGTATTACTATTTTGGGAGTAATCTCTTTTGTCCTTCTTTCCTTCTTATTACTTGTTTATGTCTGTGAGATAATAAGGTTTAGACCACCCTGCCCAAACAAGATTTGGAACAGCAGGCTGCAGAGAGATGTGGTGAGAGGTTTTTCCTTCCTTTATGTATAGGGTAGTGAGTGACTTTGTGCACCCGGGTCTGTCCTGTCAGCATTTAGCGGTTGAGACCTTTCAGAGATGTGAACCTGGGAAGATGATCGTTTACATTTTCATAATGCAGTCTTGCTCCAGGGTTCATATTGTGCTATTAAAAAAATGAATATTCTTTACAAGACATTCCTTGTCCCCTTAGGAACTTAGTCTCATAATTTTAATAAAGGCCACTTATTGCTCTTAATTATGTGGGTCAGAAGCTCTGTACCACTTTGAGCCCTTGGAGGCCATGAAAAATATTGCTTATAGTCATATAGTTTAATTTTCTTAAAATCTTATTACTCTGTAATTTAGTGAGCCTCTGATATATTTTTAATAAACTATTCCTGCCCCCTTCATTATGTGATAAGGATTACATTTGAGAGTGGTGCTTATTTTTAATTAAAGGATACTTAACTAGTCCTAAAAAGTGCTGTAATTGGTGCCATGTGATGCCTGACTTATTCTTTGAGCAAATCTTACTGTGGTTTTGCTTTTTTTCTCCTCTGCAAGATCTTATTGCCTACTCTAAAGTTCCTTCCCTATTTCTATGTTTGCAGTGGTGGCAGTGAATCCTATTTTGCAACTTTTAATTCAAATTAAAACTTTTCTAAATTGGTTAAACCTTTTCATCAGAATAGCAGTATAAAAAAGAAACTGATATTGGTTAATTTAAGACAAAAAGAAATTAATCAAAAAAGTGTTAGGTCACTCAGAACATTGATAAGGCCAAAGTACAGGTTGGCCAACAGAACGGCCAAGACCAGCTATAGGAGTAATATCCTCAGGACACTGTTGGTGGTTTTTGTTTCCCCTAGATCGGTTGCACTGCTGCACCTCAACTCCCTCAAGATCACTGAGAATAATGTTCAAAAGATCCTGTGCCTTTCTTATTTCCTCAGGATTCAAGTCTCTACCAGAGAAGGGGGCCACATCCCCCCTATTCTGGGAGTCTCCCAAATTGTAAAAGTTTTCAGTCAGTCAGAACAACAAATTTCCCCCTACATAAATGTTTTCATCTAACTCCAAAGTTTAAAATTCAGAGAATTGGAATTTTAGTGCTAATCAAAACCTTCAAGAAAGTATCCTCGCTTTACAGGTAAAATGACTTGCATTAGATAACACAGATCTCTAGATTCAACATCATTTCATATTTCTTTAAACTTTTAATATTGGGTTACCAGTATAACTTTGAATTTTTGACTTTTAAAGCACTGTATTACTGTAATCTTTTAATAAGAATTTGGATTATTGAGGCCTACTTTCATATTCACTCATTTGCTCAATTTATATAGTAAATAAGTGTTAAGCATCTAATGTTGACCAGGCACTTGATAGGAGCTGGGAATACAAATATGCAACAACGGATTTGGGGCCATTAGGGAATTCATAGTTTAATAAGGTAGGCAGTTAAGTGTTATGTTTCTGTAGAAAAAAGTAAATGTAGTAAATGTATATGGTTAATTGTAATTGTATATGGTTAAATGTATAGTGAACCTTGAGGATTTTTTTAAAGGTTGAAAAGGAGTAAAAGGGCACTTCCAACAGAATGTGTCAGTAGTTGGTGTTTTCTTTGTCTCGAATCATAGAAGAGTTCTATATGACATAGATAGCCAACAGTCTTTCTTTCCTATTTGCTATTTAAAGGTTAAGGGGAAAGTACAAGTCATGTTTTAGAAACTTATTATAAAATGTTTCAGATATATAAAAGATTTAAAGAATAACATGAATGTTACAAATACAGTTATTTTTAAGAAATAAAATATTATAAATAAGCTAAAACCACTTTGGTACCCTTTTCCAATTGAAATATCCTCTCTCCCCCAGATTATCCCAATTTGTTGTATTTTATTCCCACTCTCTTTTATTCATACACACACATCCCTAAATGATGTATAATGACACATAGTATGATATGTGTTTTGTTTTGAATGTTTTAAAGCTTTATGAAGTCCTGTACAAAATACTAACAAACTGAATCCAGCAGCATGTAGAAAGGATTATACAGTATGAACAAGTGGGATTTAACCCAGAAAAGCAAGGTTAGTTCATCATATAAAAGTCAATTTAATATACCATGTTAAAAGAATAAAGGACAAAAACCACATGATTATCTCAATAAATGCAGAAAAAACATTTGACAAAATCCAACCTTCTTTTGTGTTTAAAAAAGAAAATATTTAACAAACAAAGAATAGAAGGAAACTTCCTCAACCTTATAAAGGGCACTATGAAAAACACTGCTGACAGCATAGTTAATAGGGAAAGACTGAAAGCTTTCTCCCTAAGGTCAGGAACAAGACAAAGATGTGTTCTCAGCCACTCCTATTTAACATTGTAATGTACGTACTTGCCCGGGAAATCAAGCAAGATAATGAAATAACAGGCATCCAGATTGGAAAAGAAGTAACACTATCTGTATTTGAAGTTGACTTGACCTTGTATATAGAAAATCATAAGGAACCCACAGGAACCTATTAGAGCTAAGAAATGAGTTCACCAAGGTTGTGAGATACATGATCAATATTTAAAAATCATATTTCTATGCACTAGCAATGAATAATCCAAGAATAAAATAAAAACAATTTCATTTATAATAGCATCAAAAAGAATAAAATATTAAGGGATAAATTTTTTAAAAGATTTTATTTTATTTTATTTTTTAGAGAGGGAAGGGAGGGAGAAAGAGAGAGAGAGAGAGAGAGAGAAACATCAATGTTGGGTTGCTAGGGGTCATGGCCTGAAACCCAGGCATGTACCCTGACTGGGAATCGAACCTGTGATACTTTGGTTCGCAGCCCACGCTCAATCCACTGAGCTACACCAGCCAGGGCTTAAGGGATAAATTTAACAAAAGTGAATGACATGGTAAACTGCAAAAGATCATTGAAAGAAATTTTTAAAAACATGAATGAGAAGATATACTGAGTTCATGGGTTAGCACACTTAATATTGTTAAGATGACAATACGAGCCACAGCAATTTGTAAATACAGCACAGTTCCTATTAAAATCATAGGCTGTTTTGTAGAAATTTCCATGTAAGTAAGCCGATACTTACATGGAAATGAGACAAAGCCAGAATAGTCAAAGCAGTTCAGGGGGGTCGGTAGGGAGACAGATTTGGAGAACTCACCCTTCCCAATTTCAAAAATCACAATAATTAAGATGATATGGTACTGGCATATGGATAGATGTACAAATTGTTGAAATAAAATAGAAAATTTGGAAGTAAACCCTTACATTTATGGTGAATTAATTTTTAGCAAAGGTGCCAAGACAATTCAGTGGGGAGAGAATAGTCTTCAACAGATGGTACTGGGACAACTGGAGATATACATGCAAAATAATGAATTTAGACCCCCTACTTCACATCATACACAAAAATGGATCAAAGACCTAAACGTAAGCTAAAACTAAAACTCTTATAAGAAAATATCTGTGTAAGTCCTTACTACCTTGATTGGGCAAAGGTCTGATACAATACCAAAAACAATCAGCAATCAGAGAAAAAATAGATTAAATGGACTTCATCAAAATTAAATTTTTGTGTATCAAAGTTCACTAGCAAGAAAGTGAAAAGACAACCCACAGAATGCAAGAAAATATTTATAAATTGTATATCTGATAAGAGATTTGTATCCAGAATATATAAGAATTCTTTACAATTCAACAATAAAAGTCAACTCAATTTAAAAATAGTTAAAATTTCAATAGATATTTCTCCAAAGAGACACAAATGGCCAGTAAGCACTTGAAAATATGCTCAACATTATTAGTTATTAGGGAAAGGCAAATTGAAGGCCACGTGAGTTACCATTTCACACGCACTAGGGTTACTAGAATCAAAAAGATGGACAATGACAAGTGTTGGCAAGGGTGTGAAGCAGTTTGAACTCTCATACATTGTTGTGAGTGTAAAATGATGCAGCTGCTTTGAAAAATAATTTGTCAGTTCCTCAAAAAGTTAAACATGACTCAGCAAATCCATTTCTTAGAATCTACACTAGAGAACTAAAAACCTACATCCACACAAAAACATGTACACAAATGTTCAAAGCCATACTATAATAGACACAAAGTGAAAACCTAACTGTCCATCATCTAATGAATGGATACCAAAAATGTGTATCCACACAATGGAATATTATTCAGCCATAAAAAGGAATAAAAACAACATGAATAAACCTTGAAAATAGATTAAATGAAAAAAGCCAGACACAAGAGATCATAATGTATGATTCCATTTATATGAAATGGCCAGAATAGGTAAGTCCATAGAGATAGTAGATGAATGGTTACCCAGGTCTGTGGGGAGGTAGGGATGAGGAGTAACTGTTGATAAGCATAGGTTTCTTTTGGGGATGATGAAAATGTTCTGGAATTAGTAGTGATGGTTTTACAACCTTGTGACTATGCAAAAAAGCACTGAATTGCATACAGTAAAAGGATGATTCTTAAGATAGATGAATTACATCTTTTTAAAAGAGGCAGAAAAATATATAAATACTCTTATAATATAACAGGAAGACAACCCAGTTAAAAATAAGCAAAAGGTATTAAATGAGTGTTCACATTCATAAACATTTTTTAAAAGATTTTATTTAAGCCCTGGCTGGCGTAGCTCAGTGGATTGAGCGCGGGCTGTGAACCAAAGCATCGCAGGTTTGATTCCCAGTCAGGGCACATGTCTGGGTTGCAGGCCATGGCCCCCAGCAACCACACATTGATGCTTCTTTCTCTCTCTCTCTCTCTTTCTCCCTCCCTTCCCTCTCTAAAAATAAATAAATAAGAACTTTTTAAAAAAGGTTTACAAATCCTTGTAGATCTTCTACAAATAAGATCTTTTAAAAAAATCGTATTTATTTATTTTTAGAGAGAGGAGAGAAACATCAGTGTGTGGTTGCTTCTTGGTCACTCCAAACTGGGCAGCTGGCCCAGTACCCAGTTACCCTGTACTAACTAAGAAACTTAATTGGAAGCAGAATAAAATTTTCTCTGCCATGTCTTCATTTTATGTGTGTGGGTATTCATTTGGAAAATCTTTGTTTTACTTTTCTTTCTAAAAATTAAAATTTTTAATATATTTATTTTTTAAAATGTATTTATTTATTTTTAGAGAGAGGGGAAGGAAGGGAGAAAGAGAAGGAGAGAAACATTGATACACAAGAGAAACATAGATTGGTTGCCTCTTATACTCCCCCAATGGGGGACCTCGCCCGCAACCCAGGCATGTGCCCTGACTGGGAATCCAACCGGTGGCCCTTTGGTTTGAAGGTCAGCACTCAATCCACTGAGCCATACCAGCCAGGGCTAATTCATAAACCTTAATAGTTAACATTTGAGGGCCAATTTACATATATATTTATTTAATTTTTATAACCAACCTTTGAGGCAGGCACTATTATTCCCATTTCACAGATTAAGAAATGGAGACTAGTTAAGTAATTAAATATATTAATGAATCTTGGAGTAGGAATCAGACTATGGAACTTACATTTTTATTCACTCTATGCTCTTTTAAACCTATGTTATTCTTATGCTGGTATTTGTGTGGACATGACATTTCCTAGGACTGATGCCAACCACCTGTACTATGCCTGTTGTTTTTCTCCTTTTCAGATCCATTGATGAAATGAAACGGTTGGAGGAAATGTCAGCTATGTTTCAGAGCCCTGGGGTTGAGCGCCACCCGCCAGAACCAAAATCCCAAACAGGAGGGAGTGAAGCTGCAGGGGCCAAAGAGCAACCTTGGGAAATGGTGATGGATAAGAAACACTTTAAGCTGTGGCGGCGCCCTATTGCAGGCTCCCATCTTTACCAGTACAGAGGTGAGCCCAGCTTGGCTGCTTTGTAAGTGTGTTCCATGGTTGCCCATGTGTGCAGGCCTTCTGTTCCTTATATTCTCTATAAACTGTCTTGTTCTGGCTATTTCTCAGGAAATTTGCCATGTTTTCCTGTTTGTTGTTTTTCCTCTCTTAGATGATAAGTGTCTCAGTGTCTTCTTTGCTATACTTTGCTGTAGGGTGTCTTTGCTGCCCCAATAAGATTTCTAATTTCTGAATCTGCCTTTAAGATCTGTCAGAACTATAATTGAAATACAGTTAAATGATAGGAATAGGTGAGTGATGAGAGTGTGGCAAACATCCATGATTCTTACTTGTCATTCTAGTTTTTGGAACCTACACAGATGTGACACCCCGGCAGTTCTTCAATGTTCAGGTGAGTGCATTTTTCTTCCCCCATTTGGAGCCTCTAAGCCTGGAAATTCACTTAACCACCGTCCACATGAATAATTTCTCTGAATCAGAAGACATTGACTTCATACATCCATCTATCTCTGTTCCCCCTCATCTCACATTAAATCGCATCTGGGTAAACATTAGACTTACATCTTTGTCTACTGGGGATGAGACCAATTTTACCCCTTTAATAACTAGTTTATGATTATAACACCCACTGTAATATGCACGAGCATACTTCCCTCTCAGGGCTGTTGGAAAGATCAAACAGAGGAATGTATTTGAATGCTTTAATATGTTTTATAAGGATTTGTAGTTGTTTACTTTCTAAACAATTTGAGGTTAAGTTGTATACTTGACCCTTTATTTTAGAATTCTTCGGTATGTATATACTAAAACTAGACATATTCTCTTAACCATTGTGCCATTAATCAAAGTTGGTAAATTTAACATCAATGCAACATTTACCATACATAATCTGTTTATATTCTAGTTTTATATATTGACCCATTAATGTCCTTTGTAGCATTTTCTTCGGTATCAGTTCAGTTAGGAGTTAGTAATTTGAAACATTTCCACAGTGAAGGTTTTTTTTTTTAAGGAGAAGGAAGCATCTGTTCAAAGACTGCTTTTGTCTTTGTAGGGAGACATGAAAAGTGGTGGCAGGACCATCCAGAGTTTTACAATAAAGTTTTTTTCCCTCCTGGATTTTTTATTTGTTTTGCTGGGATTTTAGTAACTAGTTGATGATTATAATAGGCACTATAATATGCAAGTGCACACTTTCCCCTACACACTGAATTTTGTCAACTTACATTGAATTTTCCTTGGTTTGGATGTGTCTAATAGTGTCTTATTTTGAAATTCCTTAGTTACTCGTGATAAAAAAATTTTTAAGTAAACTACTTGCATTTCTTTCTGTGAGGTATATACTCATTCTTTTGGACTTTTTGTCTGTTTAAAACTTCTTAGAATTGTTCTACACTTACACATTTATATCACTGTCTATTATATATTCCCCAGGTACACCTGTTATACAGGGTTTTTTTTTCTTACACTGTACTTTGGTTTGTCTTTTTCTTGTTAACGATTCACTCTCAAGGTAATGGTATTGGCCTACAAGAAGAGATGTTAAAAGCCTTGTCTGTAGTTGTAAACACAGCCATGTCTTTCACATTTCAGCACTTAAAGGTTGGATTGCTGTTTTAGGAAAAGTCCTTGGGTCAGAGGCCCAAGCCTCTGGAGAAGGCTTCTGCAACTTTGTTTTAAATCTCTTGAGTGTTTTTCTTTTCATAAGCTGGATACAGAGTATAGAAAAAAGTGGGATGCCCTGGTGATCAAGCTGGAAGTGATCGAGAGAGACGTGGTTAGTGGTTCTGAGGTTCTTCACTGGGTAACACATTTTCCTGTGAGTATTTTTACTTTTGGTTTTATTTTTATTATCTCCATGTGAGGCACAACAATAATACTGCTCCTTTTTTATTTTTAGTATCCAATGTACTCACGGGACTATGTTTATGTTCGGCGGTACAGTGTGGATCAGGAAAACAATGTGATGGTGTTGGTGTCACGGTATGTATGGTAGCCTGGGGCTTCTGCTGAATTCTGTTAGCTGCGTCCTTCATTCATATATGTCTGTAGTGGGTTTGCATTTTCTCAGTGCCCTTATAAGCGAAGCCCAGGCCCCAACTGTCCCAACTAGAACATGAGATTGAAGGGATATAAGCTTTTCATTAAATAATTTCTTCAGTTTCTTAATACTGATAATTTTAAAAAGAAGTGCTGTCTTCAACACAAAACTTAGTGAGCTGGGAGTTACCAAAGGAACTCACTTTGAGAAGTTACTTTGTATTCATTTGTCTTAGTGACTCCTGTGTTGTATTTTATAAGGGCCAGGTTTTTAGATTTTCTTCTTAACTTTAGCTTCTATGCTATTTATGCTGTTTTCAAGTAGACATTGCTCAGTTTCCTTAACTTTTCTCTTTGCTAGTGCTGTGGAGCACCCTAGTGTGCCGGAGTCCCCAGAATTCGTAAGGGTCAGATCATATGAATCCCAAATGGTTATCCGTCCTCACAAGTCATTTGATGAGGTGAGTTTTACATCCTTTAAGATGTGATATGTAGTGGCTTTGGAATTTTCTCAAGGAATGCTTTTATCTGAAATGGGGAGGGTGTAGGTTGCTGTAGGATAGTGGTTCTCAGAATCCCCTGGAGCTTGTTACAGTATAGTGCTAAGCTGTGGCCTGAAAATTTGTGTTTTTAAGAAGTTCCCAGGTGAGGCTGATGCTGTGGTCTGGGGACTGCACTTTGGGAACCCCTGCCATAGGCTGATGGGCCTGGGGCTTCCCCCACAGCAATGTCCTATTTATCTGAGACGAGATAATAGCCCCTGATTCATTAGCCTGTGGTTAGCATCATTCTTTAGGAACTGGAGTGAGTACTTTTCCAGTCAAATTTCACCACAGTGGGAAGAACATTCATGTATATAACCTTTCTAGACTTCTGTCTGCTTGTAAAATGAGGGGGTTGGACCAGCGATTTTCAACCTTTTTCATCTCACGGCACACCTAAACTAATCACTAAAATTCTGTGACACACCAAAAAATGTTTATTGCTGATCTGAGAAAAAAATAGGTATAACTTTGATTCATTCACACCAGGTGGCTGTTTTTGTGTTGGTTGTTGTCTTTTTTTTTTAATATTTTATTTTATTTTGAGAGAGAGGGGAAGGGAGAGAGAAAGAGAGGAAGAGAAACATCAGTGTGTGGTTGGCCCCTCACGTACCCCATCCTGGGAACCTAGCCCACAACCCAGGCATGTGCCCTGACTGGGAATCAAACCAGTGGCCCTTTGGTTCACAGTCCAGCACTCAGTCCACTGAGCCACACCAGCCAGGGCTGTTGTCATTTTTTATTTGACACTCTTAAGGAAAAGAGACCAGTGCCCTAACTAAATAGTCAAGTATTGCATGTTTTAAAAATTCTTGCAGCATACCAGTTGAAAATCGTTGAGTTTAGACTAATGCTGTCTGCCTTCTTTAAAATTTTATGACTTCTTTGAGAATGTTTTCTCGCCATAGTGGGGTGTTTTCTTGTTTAGCCAAGTCTTTGTTGAGTATATATATTGATTCTAGTGGTTGCTCTTTTTAGTTCTATCTCACTATGTTTTTCTAGTACATGTGCTGCCAAATCAAGCACCTGTTTTATTTTATAATGGCACTTTTTTTTCTCCCCACCACTTGTTTTAGAGCTGTATGGACTTTGTTCTTTTTTTTTTTTTTTTTTTAGATTTTATTTATTTATTTATTTTTTAAAAGATTTTATTTATTTATTTTTAGAGAGGGGAGGGAAGGAAGGAAAGAAAGAAACAGAAACATCAATGTGCGGTTGCTGGAGGCCATGACCTGCAACCTAGGCATGTGCCCTGACTGGGGATCGAACCTGTGATGCCTGGTTCACAGCCCAAGCTCAATCCACTGAGCTATGCCAGCCAGGGCTTGAACTTTATTCTTTAGTGTGGTTTTGTTGTTTTCATCAGTTGTTGTATTTATACCACCTGAACTGGGACTTTTAAATATGACGGAAATTGTGTTCACTTCAGGCAGTGTGGTGTTTGCATCTCTTTTTATTGGGAGATCCCTGTGTTTACCCCTGAACTATTTTTAGAGAAGTATTTTTCAAACCATGGCTTACTACCCATTAATAGAGGAGAAAATTAGTTTAGTGAATTATGACTAGCTTGACAAAGGAAAAGAGTAAGTAAAACAATAGAAACTGTTTGAGTGTAAGTGTATTTCATGAGACTTGTTTGGTTGCATAATGTGTATGAGTGTATGTCTCTGAGAGAAGCTGGGAGAGGAAACTGGGTTGCAGTGTAAAAAGGATTATTTACAGTGTGTTGTGGTTAAAAAATGTTTGGAAGTCCTTGCTTTTGAAGATACAAAAGCAGTAAGATTCTATTGATGTCACTTTCTCTTAGGAAGGGGAGTTTAGATCAGGCTGGGAACAGTGTGGAAGGCAGACTTAACGCCTCTCTCCTTTCCTTTATGTTGCTTTTGAAATCTGAATCTTGTCCATATATTTCTATTTGAAAAAAAAAGTGACTTGAGTTCGGAAGACAGCATGGCTGTCTTCCGAAACTGAGCATGAAACAGGTAAAGCATAGTTCAGCACCTGGCAGAGTGTGTTGCATCTAGTAGGCACCCAATAAATAATTTCTTTAGCTGGGGTGAGGGACACTAGGAATTTTCTGTATGATTCTCTTAGTATATTTGTGACAGGCTCTTAACAAAAATGTGAGGCTTGAGTTGGTTTTTGTGAAAAGGCAGGTGGACTATATATATAGAGAGAGAGAGAGAGAGGAAACCAAGAAGGGCATGGTGGAAGGCTTGGTTCAACCAAACACAAAGATAAGAGTGAACCCTGTGTGTGTCCAACACTGCATAGAAAGGAAGGTAGAGGATAGTGGCAGTGATAGATTACATTGATGTATACAAAGGGTACTAGAAAAAAGCAGTCGAGTTTGGGTTTGCCTGATGGAAAATATGTTCTTGAGCTAAGAAATGGTGTTTTGTTTTACTTTTTACTGTGGATGATTTGAAATGTATATGAAAGATAAAGTATTAGTGACACCCTGATGTATCCATCCGAGCTTCAAAAGACCTCCGCTCACAGCCAGACTTGTTTTATCTGTGCCCTTTCCCATTCCCCTGATTATTTTGAAGCAAAGTCTAGCTTTGGTATAGAAGAACGCATGAAAGAACGCTTCTATAGATTTTTCAGTATTTATCTCAAAAAAAAGATTTTTGAAAACAATAAATAATCCCTAATATCAAGTATCTAGTCAGAGTTTGAATTTTTCTGGTTATTCATGAATTTTTTTAGTTGGTTTATTAGACTCAGGATCCAAATATTCAAACATTGAACCTTGTTTCTACTATGTCATTTTTTACAGAATTTGCTATGACTAATACTTTATTGCCTGTTATGTGCATGATGCCTTCATATTATCAAATATGACAGTTCTTGCAACAGCTCTGAGAGGCAGACATTTTACAGGTTAGGGCACTGAAGACAGAAACTTAAAGGATATATTTGATTTTATACAACTGTGTAATAATGGTCACCACTCTATATAACAATAGCCCCTAGTGCTTTATATGTGATTTGTTTCATTACAATGCTATGAGATAGGTATTAATGTCATTCCCAGTGAATAGACCAATGAATTGACATGCATTAAAGTTATTTCACCTGTCCACAGTCACACAAGCAGTATATGGTAGGAGCTTAGTTTTCAATCAAGGGTAAAACCGACCTCTAAGCCCAAATGCCAGCCAGCATTTATTGTCTATTCTGGTAAGTGGTACAGTCACAGATTGAACCTGCGTCCTCAGAATCCAGAACTGGTGCTCACTTTGTGCATTTTGCCAAGACACTTACCCTCAACGACAACTGTCAGCGTGTTTTAGTTCCCCATCTGGCACATGATTGAGCAGTGAAATGACTAATGATCAGGCTGAGAAAAAAAGAGAAAAATGAAGGTTTATGTCATTCTTCTCCTAAACCATCAGCCTCAGAATAGCAGGTTGTATATTGAATATAAAATTGCACTCATAAGAGGAGTATAAATCCTCAGATATCTAGAATATGTCTAATTTTAAAGGAAAAATTAATTTTAATATTTTTTGACATTCAATATTATTTAATATTAGTTGTGGGTATATACAGTGGTTAGACAATCATATAATTTACAAAGTGACCCTCTCAATATTTCAGGTGCTTACCTGCCACATTCATAGTCATAGTATTATTGACTATATTCTCTATGGTGTACTTTACATCCCTGTGACTATTCAGTAACTACCAATTTGTACTTTCACTCTCTTCACCTTTTTTCTTTTTTTTTAATCGTTGTTCAAGTACAGTTGTCTGTATTTCCCACCCCCCCACCAGTCCCCCCCCACCCCAGCCATCCCCACCTCCCTCCCCTGATCCCACCTGCCCTTGGTTTTGTCCATGTGTCCTTTATAGTTGTTCCTGAAAACCCTTCCCCCATTTCCCCCCATTATTCCCTCCTACCTCCCTTCTGGTCACTGTCAGTTTGTTCTTTATTTCAATGTCTCTTGTTATATTTTGCTTGCTTGTTTGTTTTGTTGATTAGATTCCACTTAAAGGTGAGATCATATGGTATTTGTCTTTCACCGCCATGCTTATTTCACTTAGCATAATGCTCTCCAGTTCCATCCATGCTGTCACAAAGGGTAGGAATTCCTTTTTTCTTCTGTGCAGTATTCCATCGTGTAAATGTACCATAGTTTTTTGTTCCATTCGGTTACTAATGGGCACTTAGGTTGCTTCTAGCACTTGGCTATTGTAAATTGTGCTGCTGTGAACATTGGGTGCATAGGTTCTTTTGAATTAGTGTTTCAGGGTTGTTAGGATATAATCCCAGCAGTGGAATTGCTGGATGAAAAGGCAGTTCCATTTTTAGTTTTCTGAGGAAATTCCATACTGTTTTCCACAGTGACTGCACCATCTCTTCACCTTTTTCATTCAACCCCCCAAACTCCCTCCCCTCTGACAACCATCAGTTTGTTCTCTGTATCTATGAGTCTGTTCCTGTTTTGTTCATTTATTTTGCTCTTTAGATTCCTCATATAAGTGAAATCATACGGTATTTGTCTTTTTCTCCAACTTACTTCACTTAGCATGATACCCTCTAGATCCATCTGTGCTGTTGCAGATGTTAAGATTTCATTTTTTATGGCCAGCTAATGCATTGCTATATGTACCACAATGTCTTTATCTAGTCATTTGTTGATGGTCACTTGGATTGCTTTCATATCTTGGTTATTATAAATAACACTTCAATGAATATAGGTTTGCTTATATTTCCCCCCCTTAAATTAGTGTTTTGGGGTTTCTTCGGCTATACCCAGCAAGGGAATTGCTGGGTCATAAGGCAGTTCCATTTTTAATATTTTGAGGACTCTTCATATTGTTTCCCACAGTGGCTGCACTAGTTTGCATTCTCACCAATAGTGCACGATGGTTTTCTTTTCTCTACATATTCACCAATACTTGTTTGT